TATATAAAATTATATTAATATAATACGTGAAATAATGAATTAATGGAATATTTTGTAGAAAAGTATTTTGTTTAATTACTATTTAAGAATCATTCAATCACGAAATTGAGAAAAATTATTTAGAAAGTTTAAAACATAAAAAACACCAATTCTAATTTATTACTTTAATTTTATTACTTTAATTTTATATTTGTATCTAATTTTCTGTTACAATCGTTTAATATGTTTATAATCAATATAATTCCATAAAACATTACAAAAATAAAGGAACAATTTTAAACCGATAATTAAATAAGAATGTCACTATTGCTCGCGCACTTCGTAAGTAAATATATCTTTATAAAATGATTCTTTTTTTATTTCAATTACAACAATTTCAATGATGAACACCTTGATATCCGACACGTTTTGAACCATCCATGTTGAATGTTATCTATAGACTGATGGCTGTTTCTTTTTCATGAAATAAGGTTATCTCCTATTTAGCAATAGATATTGTCTGCGCATGCTCTCAATAATTCTTAAGGAGAATGAAATAATCAACTTTATTCACAGTATTTTAAATATTCTATATTGATCTTTCATATTTCTGACAAGTTTTCAGTACCAAACATTTAGAAATAAAAAAATTTCTAATAACGAATAGGTATTATGTTGATAAAAAAAAATGCGTTTATATACACCCGTTGTATTCCCACGCTTTAGCTGTAGCTTATATACAGCGCTATATGCTATAGATATTAATATTTTGTAGAATGTATCATATATCACTTATTCGTTTTCATTGATACATATACATCAGAAAAGATATAGTCGCAAAAATTAAATTGCTGATATTGAATTTTTAAAAAATAAAAAATGTACTTTTAATATATTTAATAAATTTTAATATTTTATGTTTAATGTATTTTATAGATTAAATTTATAAAATTATGTTTTATAAATTAAATTCTAATAGCATATAAAATAATTAAATGACAAAGAATATATAATTAAATGACAAAGAATATATAATTAAATTTAAATGTTTAAATAAAAAAGTTAATCTCTTAAATGTTGAAGTATATTTAGATTTTATGTATTGCTTGAAAATGTGTGTTACTCTGATATATACTCTGACATATTCATTTAAAGTATTAAAAACAAACAAATAATAAATGTTAAACTAATAATAAATAATAAAATAAACTAATAATAAATGTTAAACAAATAATAAATGTTAAAATATAAATGTTATATTTTATTGCTATTCTAATTAATATATATCTGTTACATTCTATTATTACCTACTTGAAAATTTATTACAACCATGCCTTTACATCATATCCCTTTTCTTTTATCACATTTCTTTTATAACATTCTTCTCGTGAAATTTTCTGCTCCAAATATTGTACTAACATAATTTTGACATTTCTTCATCCTTGATTTGCCAATAGGAAGGATATGTAACCAGCTGACGTTTTTAACAGCTATAATATATTCTCTATGTAGGTAAGTGAATTAATTTTTTAATTGATAAATATGCAATTGATTAATTACTTGATTACTGATTATAGATTGACACGTTATTCTTATAAAAATAATTAGAAATATATATGTATATATAATCTTTTAATGCCTTAATTTGATGTTTGTGTTTTTTAAATACTCCAAAATAACTAAAAATTAAATTGTATTAAAAAATGTTTTCATCTATTAAAAGAAGTTTTATAAAAGTTAAGATATGAACATTGCAGAAATTACGAAGGACCCCGCATAAAACCACGAGAGTTTGGCTCACTATGATATTGGCTGAAATTTTAGTATGTTATAATTCTTGACTTACTGATCAAGTTTCTTTAGGCACAAAGCATAAAGTAGCATACTATTTAACTCCTTCCCCATATAAAAATACATACACACATGCACAAGCAACATATATACACATAAATCTTTCTCAAATGTGTACGTAAATCGCATATTATTATCTAAAATCTTTCGATTTATTATAAAAAAAGCGATTTGGAACACTACAAAAATAAGTATAAAATACAACATTTCAAACGGCTGTAGCAAAAAACTAGCTATTTTTAAATTTTGTGCCTAAGGAAATTTTTGATCCGCAAGTCAAGAACTATTACATATTTTAATTTCAATTAATTTTACAGAGAGCCGAAAACCCGTGATTTTGTGGATCCTTTATAATAAAAAAAATTCATAAAATTTTAAATAAATTATTAATAATCTTACACTGCAAAATGTAGTCATAGTAAGTGGAAATATTTTTCCTGCAGTGATGCGAAAAGGTTGGCTAGTTCGTATCAATAATAAAATAAGAGTCCTTGCCTTTTTCGGTTCTAATTTATACCATTCAAGATCGCACATAGTACGATATAGTCCTTCGCACTTGATACATATACATACACATATACATATACAATACATAGATTAATTTATTGATACTTATGTTAATCTTAATATTTATATAACATGTGTCGGAACAAGAAATATATAAATTATTTTTAGAAATTGAGTTTGTAACTCACTTGCATTGTTACTATCTCCCCGGCACCACAATAAAGGAAAGTATGCGTAAGCAAAATGGTGATACCAACTATTGGAAAACATAATCGTCCAATTGACAAATCACTTTTTTCGGTCATTACCTGAACAATATACTTTGTCAATTAATAAAAATTAGTTAAGTCTAGTTAGTACATCAACAAACTGCACATTTTAAAATAAAAAAAATTAAAATAATACTTTCTGATAAATAAAAATATAAAAGAAGCATTAATGTTTTTGATTGACATCTTGTTTAAACTTACACTAAGTAATAAAAATCCATGTAGACAAAATACGATACCAAAATAAAATACTAAGCCCAACATCATTAAAGTAAAGGTATTTTCAACGATATTTGCAAATCTACAAAAATGTTTAAATTACAAATTTAAATGTTTTAATAATTTAAATAATTTTAATAATTTGATATTAAAGCCTTATATTAATAATAACTTATAGAAAGATTTTTCAATAACATTTTGCTTTTTTATTTATAAAAAAGTAATTATTGAAAATACTATTTTATCACATGTTTTTGTAAACACATGTTAATCTATATGTTAGTTTATATTTATTTTTTATATTTCTTAGAATTATCCACTTTTCAATAAAAGTGATAATAAAAAATGTTATAAAATCAGAAATAAAATGTAAATAAGATAATAGTATCATTAATATGAAAAATATCTTTCATATTTCAAATGTTTATTATTCTTGTAATTTATTATTTTTATAATTTCCAAATGACGATAATTATATAATTCTAAAATTTCTTTAAATTAATTACAAAATGCACAAATGTATTTCATTATTAAATTTATTTTTATTAACAAATTACTAAATAAATGTTTTTAAAAATTTTTTAGATTCTATTTGATTATATTCGTTTATTTTTTTCGATTTATTTCGTCATTTATATTATATTATAAATAAAAATATTTATATATTATATATATATATATATATATATATATATATATATA